TGTGCTTTAATGGGCTCAAGCCTAAAGTATTTACAAAATTTTACATTAGAAAAATCACAACTGGCATCTTCAAGTGGATTAAGTCCACTAAATAACATATTTTCCTTGAGTTGTCAAGTCCACAACAATTCCAAAACAAGATACTCATTTTTCCAAGCTGGATGCATGTGAAGCGAGACCGACCATTATCTATATCATTAGAAATATGAAAATCATATCAAACTTGTCCAAGAATTCCTCCTCCATTCTTCTTTTATTTTGATTAGTGAAAGAGGTCTCACATTCGTTGGTAGGTTGGCCCAAATTCTGATTCACCTCAGTTTCTTTGTCAACCTTATTAGATTTTTAAATATCCTCCACAATAGCACCTATTAGAATAGTGTTCATGTGTCCTATGAAATTTTCACGTACTCTTCCACTTCCCATACCAGACAAAGGAGTACCATATGTGGAAAATTCCACTATCTCCACCTCTCAATTATTCGTATCGTTTAACATGATTCAACTAGGGACACTACTGGAAATTATGGAATTTTCGACCACCTATCTTAAATCAAGTCGAAAGCAAAAGTGATCGGAAATAACAATAAAGGTTTTTCCCGGATACCAAAAGTTGTCGGAACAAGGCTTTCGACTTGATTTAAGATCACTTTTAGGTGATCAAAAATTTCATAATTTTCAGTAGTGGGATTTCAAAAAGCAACGAAACGTTAGCCCAATGTTGGCTAATTACGGTGGCCATAAGCTTCAAGCCACGTCTCAATTGGCTTTTCAAAGGTTTCCAGGTTGATGTAAAAAAGTTTTGGAAAGAAGCGGTCTTCGTAACCCAAGATTCCACAAATGAAATAGAATGTTTGGAATATTTCATATCTAAAATCCACCTAGATCTAGTCACTCCCTTCTCTTTTGAATTTCATTCTCGTATGAGAGGTTTGTAATGTCCAAATGAACCCAGATACCCATAAAAGCCTTCTAGAGACCATCAAAACACTTTTTATCAGAATGGATATATTCATTAACATGAAAAATGATCACAATAGCATTTTTTTTTTGCATGAACATGATTGGTAGGCTGTGGATTTAGAGTAAGAATTCTACATATATGGTTGAGGGGGACGGTAAAGGGAGATTCGTTTCTTTAGGGGGGCGTTCGGTTCAGGTTATATAAGATAATCAAGGTTATATTTGCTTGGTAATATAAGATTCTCATGTTTGGTTCAGGTTATGTAACTTTCCCAAGAAATGTCAGATAACCTATGCATTAAGTTTTTAACTATTGGAAGGGAATGTGAGATACCTTCAAATTTCTTAGATAATCTCACATTTCCTTATCTTATTACTCTATTCGAAAGACCATGGACAATCTTCCAAGACTTGAGAAACATTTCATGGAAAAATTAAAACAAGAAGAGGCTGTTGGTGAGTTCCTAGACTCACATACCATTACCAAGCCTCTAAATAGTTGTCATAGTGCCCCTAATATGGAACTTGATCAATTTATCTATTAGTAGTCTCCCAACTAAGGCAGGGCAATTTATATCCTACACCATGGCGCGCGTTGCACTGTGCCCAGATGCAAAACGACGTCGTTTTAAAATTTTTTTTTTTTAATTTCCCGCCCCAGTGAATGGCAGTAATTTTTTCTTTTAAAAAAACCCGTTGTTCAAAAATGTACATAATGTTATACTAGAATACACACAATTGTATACATGAATGTACATAATTATTTAACAAAATATACATACTCTTTTTAAAAGATAATACACATAATCTAACATAATACATAATAAACATAAACTTTTAACATAATACACATCAACTCTTAACATAATACACACAAATTTTCTTATTCGGATGTACATAATTGTATAAAAAGAATGTACATAATTGTATAAAAAATGTACATAACTGTATGAACAAATACACATAATTGTGTGAACAAATACACATAATCACAGCAACTTCCTACCGCGCCTCCCAAAACGACCCCAAAACGACGTCGTTTTGGGAGGCGCGCGGCGCACAGTGCTACGCGCACCGTGGTGTAGGGTATAACGATTGCTAAGGCAGTATTGTAAATGTTTAGGGTATTTTAAATTAGATATAGTCCCTCTTTGGTAAAATATTAGCCTAGCCAATTTTGGCTTATTTGACAACTATTAATTATTTGACTTGGTTAAAAAATCAATTTCAAAATGTTAAAATTCAAAAAGCTGTTCAAACCAGTCTTTTCAATTAGCTTTTTGATAAAAGAAATTATACCAAACAGCTAACAGCCAACAATCAATTTACCAAACACTTTCCTACAATCAGTTAATGTTATCAACTAGTTATATATATACCTTCTAATTAACCTAATCAGCTAACAGCTAACAACCATTTACCAAACAGGGCCATAATCTACATTGAGAACAATGCCTTCCTCTTCTTCGCTAGTCAAGGATAGTGAAGCATATGTTTTGACTATATGATAAGAGCTAGACGCAACCATAAGGGCAGACAATGAAGAAAGTAAAATAAAATGCGTAAGAAAGAGAGAAAGCTTGCTATAGGGGTAAGGGGGGGATCGGAGATTGTCAAATTGGATAAGAGGTTCTTAAATGCTTATTGTATTTCTATTTTTTAATCCAACAAAACATTATAATACAATTCTTACAGGGCGTTTGGTTGGAGGGGATGAATTATGTGGGAAAGGAATTGTAATTCCATGGGATTTGAATTACTAGGAATAAAGTGGGAATTTAAATTCCAGTGTTTGGTTGACAGGAATAGAATTACTGGGAATTTCAATTCCAATGTTTGGTATACATGGGAATTGAAAGGGAATAAGTAGTATAAAGTCAAAAATGTTCATTATTGTTGTTAGACATTAATTTTAGGTTAAAAAAGGAAGAGGTAATTTTGACTCATCACTATCTTTTTTTCCCAAGAATTAAAATCTCAGGGGGAGACATGTGATTTTAATTCCATAAAAATGGGGGAATTGCAATTCCCTCCAACCAAACTACGGAATTTAATGACTTTTGGAATTAAGTGGGAATTAAGTGGGAAGGGAATTTAAAATCCCTCCAACCAAACGCCTTGTTAAAGTTTATTCCTTCCGCGAACTAAAGGAACAGAATTCCGATTATATTTCTTGAATATTTCATTCTTTATGGAATAAAATTTTTATTCTCTCAAACTTCAGGCCATGAAGTAAACATGATGTCACACTTTTGATTTTTTTTTTTTTAAAATTAAATAACCATGTTATTTTTATAAAAATCATCATACTTGTGTGAGACAGTCGTTATATTGTGCACCAGCCAAAACGATGTCGTTTTAGTGCATTGTCTAAAAAAAATTCTCTGTTTCGAATACACATAAATTCATAACAGAATACACAGAAACTCATAATTGAATACACATAATCTAACATGATACATAATACACAGAAACTCTTAACTAAATACACAAGAACTCTTAACTGAATACACAGAAACTCTTAACTGAAATACACAGAAACTCATAACATAATAATAAAAAACTTTTATCTGAATACACATAATAAGATTTAGGCTGTTTGGATAGATAGAGTGACGTCAGCAACTGAAACGCGCGCGTTTTGTGCCTTGGCGCACATTGTTATGTGCGTCGTGGTGCACGATATAAATTGCATGTGTGAGACTGTCTCACGAATCTTTATTCGTGAGACAAGTCGAGTCAATATGCAAATGTACTACTTGTACTAGCAAATTTAATGCTAAATATTACATTTTCATATTGACTCGATCCATCTTACGACAAAGATACGTGAGACGATCTCACACAAATTTTTACTTGCATTCTTTACCCTTCACTAATCTATTTTTGCAAAGAGAAAATTACACTTTTGGTCCTATGACTATAGTGGAGGTGGTAATTTCAGTTCGTGACTTTTAAAACTAACAGATTTAGTCCTTTTAGTAAGTTTTTTTTTTACACATTAAGTCCTTCCGGCCAAATCACCGGTGGATTTTGGTCGGAAAAATACAATCCCTTAATTTATTAAATATTTGGGGGGTAAAATGGTCAATTCAGATTCTTCTTTCTTCTTCCTTCTTCTTCCTTCTCCTTCCTACTTCTTCGTTCTTCTTCTTCCTTCTTGTATTTGGGGGGTAAAATGCACTGATGTTTCAAGTATGAAATTCAATCTGGTGTTCTTCGACGGTGGGGGCTACAGTTTCAATCTGGATTCTGGAGGACCAAAATAAAAATCTATTTAGTTAATTCGATGATGAATGGAATAACGTTAACAACCTCAAATTATCAATTGTTAACCGTAAACTAAAAGTTCAAGAATAAATTCTCTTTTTTTTTTTTTTTTTTTTTTGGTGTGTGTTTGTTTTTGTAGTCAAGAAAGGAATATTTTCGGGTTTTACGATCTGGGTTTCGTGGGGTTTATTTTTGCTGCTCGTCGGCGGCGGTTAAGTATCTGCCGAAGCAGCTCTTCAGGCGGATCACGAAGTGCGCAACCTCGACGAATTCGACAGTCCATTTCGCGGCCTTGGAGTCGCAGTGGCGGCGGTCCTGGATAACCGATTCCTCGTTGCGATCGGCTAGGAGGTATTTTTCGTGGTGGCTTTTTAGCCGCAATATGAATATAAGGAGATCGGAGATCAGAGATATTAACGGTGTCGGCTACAACCACCGGAAAATACGTGTGAATAATCGCGTTTTCCCTTTTTTTCTCAAACATAAATGGACTATTTTACCCCCTCAAATATTTAATAAACAAAGAATTGTGTTTTTCCGGCCAAAATCCACCGGTGATTTAGCCGGAAGGACTTAATGTGTAAAAAAAAGCTTACTAAAAAGACTAAATCTGTTAGTTTTAAAAGTCACGAATTGAAATTACCACCTCCACTATAGTCATAGGACCAAAAGTGTAATTTTCTCTTTTTGCAAATTTCAAAATGAAAAGGAAATGAAATTATAAACGAAAAAGCAAAAGGAGAAAAATGGAAAAATAGTGAGAGAGTAAGCATAGTATGGTAGATGAGTCATCGGAGGTGAGAAAGCAGGTCCTAAGTTAACGGAGCGCGGTCAGCTTTTCCACCTTCCAAGCTTCCACCGAACACCCAAACAAACACGGAATGCAGGAAGACCAACAAAAAACGACACTCTTTAGACTACACACACCCAAGAAAAGGAAAAAAACTAAAAAATTCCTTAAAAAAATGATACCAATTAATCAATTATGATTCATAACTTAATAAAATTATGATTTCCGCTATCTTAATGCCCTTTGCTTGTATTGCGCAGGTTGGTGTCTCTGCATTCGCATTCCATTATCTGCAATCTTTTTTTTAAAATTTTTTTAGGTTAAAGATTCAATCTCGTTGCCAAATTCCTTTATAATCGCCATTCTTGATATCAATGTTCATGTTACTTTTCCTGATTTTGAAGTTCTAGAGCATATGAAACATGATTTCTGTTGAGAATTTTAGATGAATATTGTTTTAGTTGCATTCAATGTGGTCATGGGGTTCACTGATCGAATTGCGATCATTCATTTTGCGTAAATTGTGAATTTTTTCTTCTGCAACTCACACTCATTTTCCCGTAATAGTAAGAGGCCAAGATTAATCTGGGTTTTTGAATTGTGAAATCCTAGATCATAAAATAATGGCAACTAAATGGCATGCCATTCTACTCTGAGAACTAAGGAGATCATAAAATAATGGCAACTGTGAAAATTTTATATTTCATTTCAGTGTTATAAGAGATGAAATGTGTATGGAATGAAGTATTCTTGAACCCCACTTCTCTAAGTGAGTTCAATCTGAGATCACCTGAACTTGTTTGCTTTATACATACATATATATAAGTTTGTTGTTCAAGTTTGATATAAAACTGTATTAAGTAGGATGATTGCTTCTATGTATACATGGTATTGAGGGTCGTTTAATTTATAATATTCTTTCCTTTTTCCAGCTCTGGGGCGGGTAGTTTGCCATCATGAATTCTGTAAATGAGTGTCGTAGGCTCAACGTTACAATTGCATCCCCGAGTGGTGAAACTCAAGAGCCCTCCCAGCCAAGTAGTAATAGTGAGCCTGGAGGTGCGAAACATAATATTTTTCTTGATCTGCCTGGATTGGAATAAGCTTGTCTTATCCTGTTTTCTTGTTGTGCAGTAAAGCAGCGTGATACTGTAGTGCAATGGATGAACGGTATGCTTCCTCATTTGAGTTTGTCAGTAGAGGCCTCAGATGAGGAACTACGAGCAATCTTGATTGACGGTAGAGTTCTGTGCGAATTACTGAGTAAATTGAAACCCGAAGAGGTAATCAATGTCATGAATTTTGCTTGGTAACTACAAAAAAAAAAGTTAAGAGTTGATCCTAACGGTGGTTTATTCTAGGATGGGGATTCTACTAATTCCCCCAGTTCGGGCTCGGAAAACCTTAGTAGGTTTTTATTAGCTATGGAGAAAATGGAGTTGCCTAGGTTTCAGGCATCGGACTTAGAAAATGTAAGTATCACTGCAAACCTGCATCTGTCTTCTTGATCGAGGTAGTTCTTAATTCTTATCGGTCACTAATACTAGCTTACAAGGCCCCCCTGTAAATGTTTGGACTTTGGTGGTCATGGACTTAGTCATGTTGAATGGCTGCTAATTTGCCAGGGTTCCATGAAAAATGTTTTTGATTGCCTTATAGCACTTCAAACACAATTTAGGCCGCAGGATGGGGGATGCAGTAGCTTAAATTCACCAGCATCACCCGATGCATCTGGGAGAATGACAAGGTGGAAGTCGATGGTAGAACGTTACGGGCGTGATGATGCTCAAGGTAGAACATCCGAGCGGTTTCGTCCTTTTTCATCCTTCAGAGACGAGAGGCGGAAATCAGACAAGCGTGGATTAACACGTAGTCCTGTGATGGCAGGTACTTGTTGGTAGATAGATTAACCTAACTTGCCCACACAATATATTTTGTGATGTTCCACTTTATTGAAGACTGAAACGAGCCATATTTCTAATTCCATTTGCCTATGAGTTATTACCATCTGAGATCCTCCGAGTATAGTGGTTTTGTCACGTTTAGTCCTAAACTTTCAAATTGACCATTTGTGGTCCTTCGACTTTCAAATTTAACCACTCGTGGTCCAAATTAACCATCCATGGTCCTCCAACTTTCGAAATTTAACCAACCATGGTCCTTTCAAGAGGACTACAGTCTACAGATGGTTACATTTTGAAAGTTGAAGGACTATGGGTGGTTAACTTACCACGAATGGTTAAATTTGAAAGTCGAAGGACCACAAATAGTCAATTTGAAAGTTTAGGACTAGACGTGGCAAAACCACTATACTCGGAGGACCCCATGTGACATTAACTCATTTGGCTATATTCCATGCCTATATATGATTAATTCCGTTAGACTCTGCTACATGGGAAACCCATCATAATCATCGTTTCTTAAATTACATGGATTGAGGGTTGGGCTATTTCTCATATTTCAACAGTTTGGTATTTTTGAAACTATGCCATGGTTTCGTTTCCTTTTCTTATTTATTTTTCTTAATTACTCGCTTCTTTGTTTTTATTTTTAAATTTGTGTGGTTAGAGGCATCGGCTGCACTGATGCATCATGTTGGGCACAAGTTCCATGAAGTATTTCAGCTTAAACAAGAGAGTTATGCGGATCTCCCGGCTTCAAAGATTTCAGAAATGATGAAGTCGAACAGTTTGGACGTAAGCTAAGCTTAACAATACGTTTACCTACCCGTTGGACTTTGTTTTTTCATTTATGTTGTCTTTTACGATCTATTCAATCTCTCTTGTGTACAGAATGCACCAACGCAGTCACTTTTAACCGTTGTGAATGGAATTATAGATGAAAGCATTGAGCGGAAGAATGGAGAAATCCCTCATGTATGGAAATTACGAGATACGCTTGTTGCCTCCCAGCGTTCAGTTCTGTTCACGAAATGATGTTAACTCTAACACTCGTTTAGTTGCTTCCATCTGTCAGCGTGTAGCATGCTTGTTGAAAAAAATAGTGCAAGAGATTGAGCGACGGATATCAACTCAAGCAGAGCACCTAAGAATGGTATGTATGCTTTAGGGGTTTGATCCTATTTCTCGCAATTTAACAGGTCTGTATGACAATTATTATTTTTTTTGCGTGAAGCAAAACAACCTTTTCAAAGCTCGGGAAGAGAAGTACCAGTCGAGAATCAGAGTGCTTGAAGCCCTCGCAACTGGTACCAGTGAAGAGACGCAGGTATCAATAATACATTGGCATTGACACATTTTAAAGCCTCAAAACATTTCCCTTTCTTCCCTCGATTCCACGCTTCTTTACATAACGAGAATTTTTGTTTTTCTTTTGTTTTTGAAGATTGTCATGAACCAACTGCAACAAATTAAGGTGGGATGATTTCTGTTTCAGCGTTTTCCTTCGTTTTTCTACCTCAACGTCCGCTACTATTCTCGTTGTCATTCAACACACGAGAAAGAATGCTTTCGTGTGTTGGACTTTTTGATTCTGATTCGTGTTTACTGAAACTGAAAGTCTGAAACCATCCTCGATGACAAACTTTGATCGATATGATGCAGTTCGTGTTTTCTTGATTGACATTACAGAGCGAGAAGACGAAGATGGAGGTGAAAAAGAAAAGCGAGGAACATGATGTGGCTAGATTGAAGAAGGAAAATGACGAAACCGTTCAAGAGATTGCAGCGTTGAAGCAAGAACTTGATACAGCTTGGAAAGCTTACCAACGAGACTGCTCCCAAGCGGAACAACAGATTGTAGCTTTGAAGCAAGAACTTGAAACGACCCGGAAAACTTCTGAACAATGCGGCACACCAGGGGAAAATAGTATTGGCGGTGGATCTCAACAAGAGATCGCAGCTTTGAAACAAGAACTTGAAACAGCTCGGAAAACTTATGAACAACACTGCTTACAAGCGGAAAACAAAGATAGCGGATCTCAACAAGAGATTGCAGATTTGAAGCAACAACTTGAAACAGCTCGTAAGACTTATGAACAACGCTGCTCAGAAATGGAAAAAGAAGCTACAATGTCTCAACAAGAGATTGCAGCTTTGAAAGAATTGAAACAACAACTTGAAACAGCTCGTAGAACTTATGAAGAACGCTGCTCACAAGTGGAAAAAGAAGTGACAGAGTCTCAACAAGAGATTCAAGCTTTGAAGGAAGAACTTGAAACAGCTCGGAAAACTCATGAACGCAGCTCACAAATGGAAAATAAGGCTAGAGAATATCAACAAGAGATTGAAGCTTTGAAGCAAGAACTTGAAACAGCACGGAAAACTTATGAAAAATGCAACTCACAAATGGAAAATGAGGCTAGTGGATCTCAAAAAGAGATTGAAGCTTTGAAGCAAGAACTTGAAACAGCACGGAAAACTTATGAAAAATGCAACTCACAAATGGAAAATGAGGCTAGTGGATCTCAACAAGAGATTCAAGCTTTGAAGGAAGAACTTGAAACAGCTCGGAAAACATATGAACAACGCTGCTCAAAAATGGAAAAAGAGGCTAGAGGATCTCAGCAAGATCTGGAGGAGAAACTGAAGGAAGTCATGAGCCTCTTAACAGAATCAAGAAATAAAGCGAGGGAACTCGAAATTCTTTATGAAACAAAATCTCAGAGGTGGATCAAGAAACAGAGCATCTACGAAATATTTACAGAATTCCAGCTTGGTGCACTACGTGTAAGCTTTGAAAATCTTTTTTCTTTTTTCTTATTTTTTCTATATTCCACGGTTTCCAACTTTTCTATCGTTTTCACTTTCAAGTTAGTTAATCATTTCAGGAGCTGAAATTTTCTTCCCAGTCAATAAGGCAAGAAGTCGTGAAAACACAGAAGATCTACATAGATGAATTCAATCGCTTAGGTCGATTAAGCTCATTTTTATTTTACTCAATTGTAAGGTTAAAATTGTAATTTTCAATTCATATGAAATTAAAATTTAACTATAGGTGTGAAGACCAAAGCATTGGAAGATACAGCTTCACACTATTGTATAGTTCTTGCTGAAAACAAAAAGCTACACAACGAAGTCCAGGAGTTAAAAGGTGACTTTTTTTTTTCTTCTAATAAGTTGTACACTGGAATATTTTTGTGTACTTTACTAGATTATATTTATTTTCTAATAGTTCTATGATAATTAGGAAATATTCGAGTATACTGCCGGGTAAGGCCATTTCTTCCCGGACAAAAGGACAAACAGACAATCGTTGAATATGTTGGTGATAATGGGGAGTTAATTGTCATGAATCCTTCGAAACAAGTTAAAGAGGGACGGCGTTCATTCACGTTTAATAAGGTCTATAATCCCGCTGCAACACAAGGTTTTTGAAACAACATCCGACTTGATGAATTTTAGTTGTTGTCTGCGTGTGTGTTTTTCTAAAATTATTTGTTTATATTTTCAGCTCAAGTATTTTCAGATATACAGCCCTTGATAAGATCGGTTTTGGATGGTTATAGTGTATGTATATTTGCGTATGGCCAGACAGGCTCGGGAAAAACTTACACAATGGTAAGCACCTCTCTCTGTACATTTTTCTTGCTTATATTTGTGGGTCCTGTATTCCTAATGTTGTTGCGTGGAGTGATGTTACCCTCCAGACTGGCCCCGATGGAGCAACTGAAGAGGATTGGGGTGTCAACTATCGGTCTTTAAACGACCTCTTCCAGATTTCACAAAAGAGGCGGAACGCCATAGCATATGAGATATCGGTTCAAATGGTAGAAATATATAATGAACAAATTCGTGACTTACTGTCAAGCAATGGCCCTCAGAAAAGATATCCTCAAATACTTATTTTTAGCATGTTATGGCCTTCTTTTTTGACATTAACCTTTGTTTCAATTTTTAGTTGAGTCAAACTGCAATGTTAAAAATATTTGTGTTCCTTAATTTTCACACTCTTTCAGTTTTGCCTACAACCCAACCAAACGGGTTAGCCGTCCCAGATGCTAGCATGTATCCAGTCAAAGAAACCTCTGATGTTTTGGACCTAATGAATATTGGATTAAAGAACAGGGCAAAAAGTTCAACTGCCCTAAACGAAAGAAGCAGCCGATCACACAGGTTCGATAACGGATAGACTCTGAGGTCATCTTTAAAGTCTCTTTAGACTCTGAGCATATGTTTATAGAACTAATCGTGATGCATGGCACAGCGTTGTGACTATTCATGTTTGTGGGACGGATTTGAAGGGTGGTTCCTCTATGCGGAGCAGTCTTCATTTAGTGGATCTTGCAGGAAGTGAAAGAGTAGACCGCTCAGAGGTAAAAGGCGATAGGCTAAAGGAGGCACAGCACATAAACAAGTCTTTGGCGGCCCTCGGAGATGTCATATCGGCTTTAGCACAAAAAAGCTCTCATGTTCCATACCGAAACAGCAAACTTACTCAAGTTCTTCAAAGCTCATTAGGTACACCCTTTTTCCCGTCTATTTCATACTGAACCCATGGCATTAAATTCCATATATTTTGAAAGACAAAACACTGCAAATGGATATTTGTGCCCTCCTCCCCTCAGAGACATAGAGGGTGAGTGGACAGAAGGAGAGACAAAATGGAAGGGAGGTTGGGGGTAGTCCCAGCTAAATTGACTAATGGATACAAACTTCCACAAGGTCATGAGTTCGAATCCCATCCTTCTTGGTTTGAGCCGGTCAGCTATGGGCAACCTAGTCTGGTTTACCTTCTTGTGGTCCTTTGCCGGCCTAGGACACAAGGTTGGGTTTACCCAGTACACTCCGGGTTTCCCTCGTCACCCAAAAAAAATGGAAGGGAGCTTCACTTGCAATTGCTCTTTTTGTTTATTTTATTCATAGATCCTCTGCTGCCTTAAACTCGGTTCTAAACAAAGAATGCATTTGGATATTTTTATAACAGATACCTTCCAAACTTTTACTAGAATTACGAAATTAAAGGATTTCCAAATATGCTTCCATCTATAACAATCGAACTTATTTATTTATGTATTTTGTGAATAGGAGGTCAAGCAAAGACACTTATGTTTGTGCAGCTTAATCCCGACCATAGTTCATATTCTGAGTCCATAAGCACCTTAAAATTTGCTGAAAGGGTATCTGGAGTAGAGCTAGGCGCTGCCAAGAGCAGCAAAGATAGCAAGGATGTCAAAGAGTTGATGGAACAGGTACTCTTTTATCACTCTACACATTTTACTCCTCAAAACCTTTAAAGAGTCATACTCAAAATGTCTTTCATCATGAGAAGAAAGCATTAGATATTAGTCGTTAGAAGGTGTTAAAATCAAGTGCTTACCACTACGCCCAGGGGCGGAGCCACCCCTTGGGGTAGGGGAGCCTTCCCCCACCCCCATTTTTAAATAGTTATATATGTATATATTATATATTATTATAATATGGTTAAATTACAATTTTGGCCCCTTCTAGTTTTTTTTAAACTATTATGTATATATTAAATGAATTCAATATATATATATATATATATATATATATATATATATATATATATATATATATATATATATATATAAAATTCCAAATTAATTAAGTGAAAGTAAATAAATCAAATAATCAAATTCACCATATTTCTTTATTAATTAGCTTATTTCTTTTGCCAAGATTTCAATAATGGAGGGTATTACATATCTAACTTAATTTCATTACTCTCTAAATTTGAGGTATATATATGTTTTAGTTTTATTAGTTTATTAATTAATTAATAACTTATTGTGTGTTTTTATTATTTATTTACACTTTTAGGATATATATTTGGTAAGTTAAATGATTAGCTTTGAAAATTTCGGTCCCTAATGTTTTGTTTGTAAACGAACAAAATTTACAACATCAATTACGGAGTATTCCGTATATCTTAAGGACTAAAAGTGAGAATGACCAACAATTACAGATGAATTCTACAATTACCCTATAACTTAGTGATAAAAATTACTATAATTATTTTTTATTTTTTTTTACTATTATATATATTTTGTGTTATGCGAAAAATTCGAAAGTAATTTTTGACAACCTTAACAATTGTACTCATATAATTATATATTTCATATATTATTGCACATAGTATAAATAAAAATAATTATTGTTGCTAGAAAGAAAGGATTTCAAAGAATGTGTTTCTCCTTTTACTGTCTGTTTTTTACTGTCTGTTATTCACTGCTACAACATAGATCTATATATACACAAGAGGGGGCAGTTTTACAGCCTCTTTACCTCCTATGTCTATTCATTTCTATGCCTATCCATCTCCCATGACTATTCATTTCTAACACTTCCCCTCAAGCGGGAGCATAGATATTAATCATGCCCAGCTTGTTACAAATATATTCAACCCTGTCCCTGCTGAGCCCTTTGGTGAACAAATTAGCTAGTTGATCGCCACTACGAACATGAGCCATAGAAATTAAGCCTTGTTGAACCTTTTCACGCACAAAATGACAATCTACCTCAATATGCTTGGTGCGTTCATGGAACACTGGATTATTTGAAATGTGTATAGCTTCTTGATTATCACACCATAAATGTATGGGTTTCATCACTTCCACGCCAACCTCGTTCAATATATTGTGTACCCAAGTTATCTCACACGTCACATGAGCCATCACCCTATACTCAGATTCTGCACTGGACCGAGCCACAACAGTTTGTTTCTTACTTTTCTAAGAAACCAAATTACCTCCTACGAACACACAATACCCTGTTGTAGACCTCTTGTCGCTCAATGAACTTGCCCAATCAACATCTGAAAATGCCTCAACTCTCATATGTCCACGATCATCATACAGAATGCCTTTACCGGGCGCATTCTTGAGATACTTTACAATTCGAACTTTTGCCTCCCAATGAGTTCGCGTAGGTGTTCGCATGAACTGACTTACTACACTGACTGGAAAAGCAATATCCGGACGCGTAATGGTGAGATAGTTCAACTTTCCCACCAACTTCCTATATCTCTCTGGAGAGTCAAAGGCCTCTCTTTCACCAGCCACAAGTCTAACACCCTGTTCCATAGGGGGGTCACGCATGGTTTTGATCCCAACAACCCAGTATCATCAAGCAAATCTAGCACATATTTCCTTTGAGAAAGAAATATTCCTTTCCGAGAGCGAGCAACTTCAATCCCTAGAAAATACTTCAACACTCCCAAATCTTTCGTGTGAAACTTTTCTTTGAGGAAAAATTTAAGAGTTTCAATCCCTACTGCATCACTACCTGTGATTACTATATCATCAACATAAACAATCAAGAGAATGCACCCATCATTAGTATGCTTGAAAAAGACAGTATGATCACACATACTCCTCTGCATACCAAACCCAATAATCACACTACTAAACCTCCCAAACCAAACTCGTGGAGACTGCTTTAGGCCATATAGAGACTTCTTCAATTTACACACTCTCCCAGATTCCCCCTGAGCAACAAACCCAGGAGGTTGCTCCATGTAGACTTCCTCAACCAAATCACCAAAGAATAAAAGGGGTTCAGTCGGATACACCAAAGAATAAGGAATTTGACCTTGAAGGACTGACGAAGGCATCCGATTGATCAGGAAACACGCAGACACGCAGTATGAACAGCATCAAACCAAAAGACCTTAGACACTTTCATTTGAAACAAAATTGCCCGAGCTACTTCTAACAAATGACGGTTTTTCCTTTCTGACACTCCATTCTGCTGAGGGTATACGCACACGAGGACTGATGAACAATCCCATGTTGGCCCATATAAGTGGAAAAAGGTTTAGAGAAATACTCTTGTGCATTGTCACTCCGCACACACTTAATAGTTGTATTAAACTGGGTTTTGATCTCAGCACAAAAATTACAAAAAATTGTAAACAACTCATCTCTAAATTTCATAAGATATAACCATGTACATCTAGAGAAATCGTCCACAAATGTTACGAAATATCTAAACCCATTCTTCCCTGTGACATGACAAGGACCCCAGACATCGGAATGAACAAGTTCAAATATAGATCGTAATCTTTTATTGACACGAGGAGGGTAAGAAACCCGACAATGTTTAGCAAACTCACATGACTCACACTGCAAAGTAGACAGTGATTCTAAACTAGGAAAGAGTTTCCTTAGAACTGACAGTGTTGGGTGAGCATACCAACAATGTAGCTGGATAGGAGAGATATCACTAACATGGTCTTGGACGGAGATGTGGACTGTTCCAATACATACAGTCCTCTAACTTCCTTCCCCTTACCAATAATCTTCTTCGTCAAAAGATCCTGAAATAAACAATAACCCGGGAAAAAGGTGATAGAACAATTCAAAGACCGTGTGATTTGGCTAACAGAAAGCAAATTAAAGGGAAACTTTGGAAGATATAATATAGATGACAGGGGTAATGATGAGGTTGCAACAACACTACCTCTACCCAAAATTGGAACAGATGACCCTAGAGTAACCATAGCCCCCAGGGTTAGATGGGGAATATGTGGAGAACACCTTAGAATTACCTGTCATATGGTCACTAGCTCCGGAGTCAATGACCCACTGTGTAGACGAAGAAGACACACATGCAATAGGATTACCTATTTGGACAAAGGTTGCACGACCTCTTCCACCACGTCCTCGATGGCGACCACCCCCACCTTGACTATTATACCCTTCGTTAGTATAATTTCCTTGTGATATAAATAGTAATATTCCCATTACTTTCTTCTGCCTTGGCTGCCGTCTCACGTTCAACCCAGGAGATAATCGCAAACCCTAAGTGCAGAACATCAACAACCCAAAACTCCACAAAACACCCTAAATGCAGAACATCAACAACCCAAAACTCTACAAAACATACATGGGCAGAACCTACTCCTCACGGCAAGCCCCCCAGAGTAGTCGCCGTCGAAGAAGGTGCCGGAAAATCACTCACGCGCTGTGCGTGGCGTCGGAGCAGCTGCACGGCGGCGGCGCGTGGGGGCTCCGATAGCGGCGTGGCTCGAGCTCTGGCGTCACCTCCTTGTTCCGAGCACAGCCCACTACCTCACTCTCACCGGCTCTGATACCATGTTGCTAGAAAGAAAGGATTTCAAAGAATGTGTTTCTCCTTTTACTGTCTGTTATTCACTGCTACAACATAGATCTATATATACACAAGAGGGGGCAGTTTTACAGCCTCTTCACCTCCTATGTTTATTCATTTCTACGCCTATCCATCTCCCATGACTATTCATTTCTAACAATTATCAATAATAATTAGCACAATTATGTATGTTATATATAATGATATTGTATGGTTAGTATTAATATCGACTAACATGATAAATTTATTCTATAAATTTGGCCCCCCTAACCAAGAATTTCTGGCTCCGCCCTTGACTACGCCAAACGTTATAGCTAATAGCGAAGGCGCAACTTTTTCTCCTTATAAACCGCCATCACATTTTCGAGTTGCAGGGCCACCAATTGATGGATTTGACCTTTTACCGGTCTGGCTCTGATGCCACTTGTTAAGATCAAGTACTTACCACTAAGCCAAAAGCTATAGCTAGTAGCGAATGCGCAACTTTATCTCCTTATTGACCGCTACCACATTTTCGAGAGGCAAGGTGCTAGACTTGGCCCTTCACTGGCCTTTACCCAACAAACCCCCTAGCCACCAATTGATGAGCTTGGTCCTTTACCGGTCTCCGCCCAACAAAAGGAGATATATTGTTGTAGAAACAACAGTGAATAAAAAACTATAGAAGGCGATTTTTCTTTTGCCCTTGGTAATGTTATTATCATCCTTTGAAACTAAACAATTAGTATGGCAATTTGCTATCCTTATCCACCTTTATAGTCAACTTTTTAGTAGCAACGTTTTAAAATGCCTGTCTGTTTTCTGTTTCTAAGAGTTGAAGCAAGAAAATAAATTGTTTTTTTATGCATTGAAGAAACTAAATGCTTTGCCTTCTAACTAAATCTATTTGATTCTGCAGGTTGCATCTCTCAAGGATACAATAGGTAAAAGGGATGAGGAGATAGATAGATTGCGACCTGGGAAAGATGTCAAAAATACTCCAGGGAAAGATGTCAAAAATACAACGCCTGGAGTCAATGGTGAGAAACGCGGGACGAACACTTTGAGGTATGCATGTTCCTCTCGAAGCAACAACTTCCCCACTAGTTCCTGAATGTCTAAATGATGATTTTTTTTAGACATGACAACAATCGCTATAGCAATGCTGAGATCTTTAGATATTTAGATATTTAGGAGCGAATTAGTTAAATATCCGATTCCTTTTCTATGATTGATGGATTGATTGTTCCTTTGTAGTTCCTTCTTACAGACGTTAAAGAGGAAGAAATCGCATCAAGTTAATCAAAATTAACTCCTAGCTGAGTTGCAACAAGTCCTAACGTACGGCTCCAAAATCGCCAAGCGATTCCCGTCATTCTTTGCAACACTCGACTGGTGGTATGAAACTATACCTTTTTGTTGATTAACTGCTATGTTGAATGGAATGAACCTATAAATTTCTTTACAGGTAGGAGCAAAATTTTAAGCCAAAACCAATCTGACAAGACCTGATTCAAAAAGATGGCATTAATATGCACAGTTGCATGGTTCTCTATCTCTATCTCCTTTTTGCAGCAATAGCATGTATTTTGTTCTTCCCATTGTATACAAGGGGATTTCACATGTGTCATATTTGTACATATTATTTCAGAGTGTAAGGAAAATTTAAGAACTGTCCAAACCTTTGTCCTTTAGCCAATATTTACATAGAGACGGATGCTCTGCAGATTATTCATGGCCTCCCTGCTTGGGTTTTCTTCTTTTGATTTAGTTCTTTTGGACATTAAAGATTTGTTAGCTCAGTTTCCTAACACTTGTATCTCTTTTGTCAAGCAGTCAGCGAATTGGATTGCCCATTTATTAGCTTGGGAATCATTTTCTCTGGTTGCATGGAGTGAATATCTTTCCCTCCTCTCATTTGTACTAATCTTTTTCTGGATAGTGAATGAATTGTCTTTCTAATTTGGTCGAATTTACTCTTACATATCTCACGACCATTTGAAATTCTTGTTAGATGAAATTTACTATATCTCTATCTCTATATATATATTAGGGAAAAAAATTTCCCTCCAAATTGTGAAAGTATTTATTGTATTCACATTAATTTATAAATTTATGTAATTTTAATTACAAATCAACATCAACATAATTATTAAATTAGTCAACATAATATGTTTGTATCATTAATTTATAAAATATTGCATATATTATATATTATATCTTTCTCTCTCTCTCTCTCTCTCTCTCTCTCTCTATATATATATATATATATATATATATATATATATATATATATATATAAAAGCAAAATGATTAGGCATAATCATCATAAATAATTAAATAAAGATGAAAAGAAAATAAAAGTGAATAATGAGAGTAATTCACAAAATTAATTTGAGTAATAATTGTTGATCCATAATTGAGAATTAACATTGCAATAATTATGTTATGTTTCTAACATTAATTGATTGGAGATAAATTTAAAATTCAGAATCAATATTTACATGAATATCTACACTTCAACACTATAAATAAACCATCACCCACAAGACCACAACCAATACTACAATTATGTTTTGGTCGTGGCTGGAATTGGGAGGATGGTTGTGGCTAGAATAGGGAGAAGAATATTTCTGGGAGTTTAGATATCTTATAGAGCTTTATACCGTGCGATCTGGGGAAGATTAATCAAGAAATGCGCAGTATACATGAAGAAAAAGGTGAGGATAAAAAACATACCTTGCTTCTGAACCTGGGGCTTCGATTCTTGGAGCTATTCTTTCTTGGAAGTAGAGGCAACTCTTTGCCATAGCTCATGAACGCGAAGAAGAAGAAGCAGCATGCGTAAAAATACTATTTTGCCCTCATGAATAAAAAAACTAAAAAGGTTTAAGTTTTTCCAGCCAGTTTCCATCGGTGATTTGGCCATAAGGACCCAAATGTATATGTGTTGTTTTAGTTTTTAGTAGTTTGGAGTAAATTGCTAAGTTATTAAATAATATTTTTAGTGTTTTGATTAAAGACAAAATGTTAAAATGACGAATTTGTTAAAATTTTGACGAATTTGTCAATAATCAAACGAGGTCATTATCTAACAATTATTATGGCATTTAATAAATTAATTGTATAGATATTAAAGTTTGTTTGAAAAGTAGGAAAATAATTTCTAAAAAATGAATTATTTTTCTTTTTAATGTTTGGCTGCACAGCAGAAAATTGTCTAAAAGAAAATTTATATTATTATTATTATTATTATTATTATTATTATTATTATTATTATTATGATGTAATAATGTAATAATAAATTAAAATTACAATAATAATAATATATAATATTAATAATTAATAATTAATAATATAATAATAATCAAAACAAAACTATATACAAAATAAAATCTATATAAAAAAGAAAAAAAAAATGGACAAAGGAGAGCCGTGGCTCCCCTTTGTAAATGATGTGGGATCATTTTGATCCCATATCGAAAATGTTTGGAAAGATGAGTTCTTTAGCTTCTCTATATAAGAGAAGCAATGCTCCTCTTGCAAACATAATTGTTTGCCCATCAACGTAGGCAAGTATTGAGAAGCCAAAAAGTTATTATTTAAGAAGCCTTAGCTTAATGATGACTTTTTGTTTTAATTTTTTTTTAGAAAACATTTTTCTTTTTAATGTTCGGTTGCACAATAGAAAATTGTCTAAAAGAAAATTTATATTATTATTATTATGTAATTATGTAATGTTGTAATAATAAAATAAAATTACAATAACAATAACAATAATATTAATATTAATAATAATATAATAATAATCAAAACAAAACTATATACAAAATAAAATTAAAATTTAAAAAAAAAAAAAAAAAAGACGAAGGAGAGCCTGCCGAGCCACGTGCCCCCCTTTGTAAATGATGTGGGATCATTTTGATCCCACATCGAAAATGTTTGAAAAAAGGAACTCTTGAGCTCCTCTATATAAGAGGATTGATGTGGGAGATGTTGAAAAAATGAGCTCTTGAGCTCCTCTAATGCTCTTCTTCCAAACACAATTGTTTGCCCTTCAACGTGGGCAAGTGTTAAGAAGTCAAAATGCTCTTATTTAAGAACCCTTAGCTTAATGACTTCTTATCTTAGTTTTTTTTTTTTTTTTTTGTTTTTCAGAAAATATTTTTCTTTTTAATGTTCGGTTGCACAGCAGAAAATTGTCTTAAAAGAAAATTTATATTATTATTATGTAATAATGTAAATATAAAATAAAATTACATTACAATAATAATAAAAATATTATTAATAATCAAAACAAAACTATATACAAAATAAAATTAAAATTAAAAAGAAAAAAGACAAAGGTGAACCGCGAGCTCCCCTTTGTGAATGATGGGATCATTTTGATTTTGATCCACATTGAAAATGTTTGAAAAATGGAGCTCTTGAGCTCCTTTATATTAGAGGAGCAATGCTCCTTTGCCCATCATAGTGGGCAAGTATTGAGAAGCCAAAAGGCTCATATTTAAGAAGTCTTAGTTTAAAGGCTTCTTATTTTTGTTTTGTTTTTTTTTTTTTTAAAAAAAAAATTGTTTATTAGTGGTGTTTGGAAAATATTAACCCAAAATATATGTATTGTTTTTGTTTTAGTAGTTTGGAGCAAATTGCTGAGTTATTAAATAATATTTTTGAATTTTTTATTAAAGAAAATTTTAAAATGACGAATTTGATAAAATTTTGGCGAATTTATCAATAATCAAACAAGGCTATTATCTAATAATTATTATGGTATTTAAAAAATTAATTGTATAGATATTAAAGTTCGTTTGGAAAGTAGGAAAATGATTTCTGAAAAATGAGTTATTATTCAGAAAACTTTTTTCTTTTTAATGTTTGGCTGCACAGTAGAAAATTGTCTAAAAGAAAATTTATATTATTATTATTATTATTATTATTATTATTATTATTGTTATGTAATAATGTAATAATAAAATAAAATTAGAATAAAAATAATATTAATAATATAATAATTAATCAAAACAAAACTATATACAAAATAAAATTTAAATTTAAAAAGAAAAAAAGAAAGAAAAAAAAGGAGACACGGGCTCGTCTTTGTAAATGATGTGGGATCATTTTGGTCACGTATCGAAAATGTTTGGAAAGAGAAGCTCTTGAACTCCTCTATATAAGAGGAGCAATGCTCCTCTTCCAAACATAATTGCTTGCCATGAACGTGGACAAGTATTGAGAAGTCAAAAGGCTCTTATATTAAAAAAAAAATCTTAATGGCTTCTTATTTTAGTTTTTCTAATTAATTAATTAATTAATTAATTAATTTATTATTTATTATGAGGTTTTGGGAAAAGATTAATCTTAATATTTTCCCAAAATGTATATGTATTGTTTTTGTTTTTAGAAGTTTGGAGCAATTTGCGGAGTTATTAAATAATATTTTTGTTGTTTTGATTAAAAACAAAATGTTAAAATGACAGATTGATTAAAATTTTGGTGAATTTGTCAATAATCGAACAAGGCTATTATCTAATAATTATTAGGGAAATTAACAAATTAATTGTATGGATATTAAAGTTCGTTTGGAAAGTAGGAAAATAATTTCTGGAAAATGAGTTATTTTTCAGAAAATATTTTTCTTTTCAATGTTTGGCTGCAGAAAATTGTCTTTGATTCATTTTTCAGAAAATGTCTTTGTGTTTTTGGTTCATTTTTTAAAAATGAATAAGAAAATGAGTAGAATTGTGTATACTTCAACATTTAATTTTTATATGTATAAAAAAGTATTTTTATATCTCCCAAATTATTACTATACGAATCTAATAATTATTATGGTAATTAAGCTAATAATTACACAAATAATATTATAATTGACTAATAATTATTATGGTAATCAAACTAATCGTGACCATAATAATAGTATAATTACAATTATGTAATAATAATGATATCAATAATATAATAATATAATAATCAAAACAAAACTATAGACAAAATAAAATTAATTTTTTTATTAAAAAAAAAAAGACAAAGGGGAGCCACAAACTTTCCTTTTTATATCATTTTGATCGCACATCGAAAATGTTTGGAATGAGGAGCAATTTTTTTTCAGTAAAGGCGAAACATTAAAACAAAAGAGATCATTTAAAAAAAAATAAACACATCTCATTATTAATATAAAAGAACGTTATATATATGTGTGTGTATTAAATATTAAAAAGAGAGAAAAAAAAAAAACTGTTGAAGCCAACTATAAACTATGTTAATGCCAAACTCCAAACCCCTATCCTTTATCATAACTCAACATGTGCTCAACTAACTCATCTAAATCAATTATTGTTGACATTCAATAGTTTTATTTTACTAATAGTAACACATGTACTATATATACATATATACATACAAAAATTATATATGGGGTGGGGGTGGGGGTGGAGTGAGGGGAGGGGAGGCACCTGCCCCCCCTTTGGCTCCGTATGATAACATCAAAATATATAAACGATCTAAACCATATCTTTAATTGCACTATATGATATTTGATGTTCTAATTTAAATAATTATATATCAATTCAAATATTCTTAATATATTAAAACAAATCCATTCCGTGCATCGCACATGTGAAAATACTAGTAGAATAAATAACAATATAATAGGACCAGAAAAGGAAATACCAAAATATGAAAATATTATGAAGAAATTGCATGCAACCATTATTGAAAATAATTAAAATTCTGGAATGCTGAGCATGCAGCCAATGAAGCACTAGATCGAACTCTTGCATTTCTTGAATTGCATGCATGCATGCCATTATCATTTATCAACTTAGCCTAGCTTCTTGTTCTCATGGCTTTCGGGTATCGCAGTGTACATACTCTGATCTAACGAGCTGATCTTTTGGAGGAGGAAAACTATTCTTTTA